ACACCAGACCAACACCATATCACATACTTTTTAAAGTGAAATCATCAGATATAATAAATCAGTGTGAGTGTGCTGGACTATAAACACATGTCCCCTCTCTCTCTCTCTCTCTCACCCGGGGTCGAGCAGCAGCTGCAGGGTTAAAGCGCAGTAAAGCTCTGGATCCGGAGCGCACCGCGGAGAGCAGCCCAGCCATGAGCACCACACTTCAGCCAGAATCCCTCACAGCAGTCTCTCGGAGCAGATCTCATGAGTTGAGTAACTGCTGCGCTGAATGACATTTCCACCAGCATGACCCCACAGGCCGCCTGCGTGACGCCTGATAAGATTTCCAATGTGTTGCTTTCGTTTTGAAAATTGCTTTTGTGGGGAAATAGGTCATTTTATTTATTAAATATGTTTTTGAGGTTATAATTAGTTTTAGTAATATATAAATATATCCATCAACGAAATGTAATTTAGCTTTGAACAGGCAGTTAAAAGGCGACTTTGGGTCCTTGTATGCCTGCAGTGCATTGCGTGAGGGCGTGACTTTTTCCAAGCGGAAACCCCGCCCCGCAACCGATTCTAACGATTTCATTGGTTGTGTAAATCATGTGTAACCCGTCTCTTCCTCCAGGGGGCGCTGAGTGACTCGCTGCTCCATTGAGTCCCATTCAAACACAAGCACGGGGTTGTCTTACAGCAGTGCTTGTACCCTCTGAGGCGCGTGACAGCAGCTCGCCAAGCAAACATATCTATACAATGGTGACATAATACACTGAACACAAACAGGTACAACACCAAACATGGTTTCTGAGCTTTAGTCGAGGCCGCATTTAATACAAGACACAAAAGACAGACATTTTTGTAGTTTAAAACAGACAAACTGTCCTCAGATAATCTGATGAAACTGAAATGAGAAGATGCTAACCTCATTTCCTCCAAACTGCTTCTAAAACACTGGAATACAGCAAATATAAATATATAAAAGTCTATGTGCTTTATCGCAATGTTTGACACAAAACCATATCAAAATGTATTATATTTTCTATAGATAAAAAAAGTGACTAATCTCAAAACGCAGATACATTTAGATAAAGCACGTTTAGTTTCTCCAGTAGGGGGCCTCTATGTTTGATTGCAGTATGTGGTTTCACAGCGGAAGGTTTGTTGATTGTGAAGTTATATCTTGATAGTGATGGTTTCTTCTTCACACATTACATTTCAGCTCAAGCTATGCTACAGTTTTAATTTACAATTGGCTACAAAAACAACTGTTGTTGAGGTAATCAGGGGGGTATTCCAGAAAGCAGGTTATGTGACATACCCGGGGTATGTTTGAGGATAAGCAGCGGATAACCTCAGCTTTCAGGTCCAAAATCGGACGTTACTTTCAGGGTTTGTAAGTAACCATAGCATCTTGCTCTCTGAAGATAACCTGCTCCGGAGCAGCTTCTGGCTTTGTCCAAATACACACACTTGTGGTCTTTGCACTTGATTACTTATATGACATATTTCCTGTATTTGGCCCAAGTGTTCAAGTGAGCATGAAGACCACAAGTGTGTGTCGAACTTTTCTTTACCTGATGGGACACACTTGTAGTGTTGTAAAAATGCAAGTGTTTACACAGCTTTATTTTAATTTTTATTTGAAATACTTTGCATTTTAAAATCAACTTCTAAATATCTGTTCAGTCGTCCCAATAACATGACATAATTTTAATTTGTGGTGCTTCTAATTAAGTGATAAAAAGCAATTGCAAATGTTGTACACAATAAATATCACCACTACTCATCTTTGCACCAATAAAAGTAAAAACACTGTTTTTCTACCAAATTGTTTGTAATATATAATTATTATTATTATTCATATTTAACTTGCATTGGAAAGGTTTCCGTGACCTCTCGCGAGATCTCGGCAAAAAGTCTCACGATTTATTTCCAGAACATGATGCATGATGGGATACACTTAGCCTTGAATTGGGGATGGGCGCGGTCTGGGACAGTCTTGCACACTTACTTCCTGTTGCGCGCACGCGCTCTCAAGTGGCCAAGACCGCAAGTGTGGGTATTTGGACAAGGGGTAAATGAATAAGCCATTTTGAACAACTCATGAATCACTCATTCAATGAACAACTCATTAAGACAGGAACTTGCAATCACCTACTAGTGGTTACAGAGTCATGTCCAGGGCCAACC